TTCCAGAAAAGAAACACAGTCAAATATTCTCATCACAACATAAAATAAGGTTTTGCATAACAATCATAAAAGTTTAAGTCCCAAGCTTTTTCTTATTTATAAAGACAATAGAGGATGGGAGCCAACTCTGTGCATCCCTCTTATGACCAGGACAACAATGCATGATCTTTTTTAGCCAGGAGGCCAGTTCATTTGGCGTCCACCAATGAGATGAACATGAATGTGATACACCGATTGACCTACAAAACCACAAGAACGTGACAAGACTCAATATCGATGTCCCTTTAGTTTTATTTGTTGGATGTGAATAAAACTAATTGAAGAAGTAGAAGAACTATGTGTTTAATACATACAGCCTTGTGGACCATCGTTGATCACAATTCTGAAACCCTCATCTAGGCCTTCTTGTTTCGCTACAAGCTTGGCAGTGTAGAGAAGGCGGCCCAAGATGTCAATGTGCCTTTCCTCAGCCTGCAGTATAGCAGAACAATACACTATTTAGCTTGTCTCTCTTCATCGGATCGAGTGCAACAATTCTGAGTGGACTGTTCTGGATTTGTTTTTAGGGTTCAATTTGGAGAGGTGTAAGTGAATTAGGTACCTTAGAGAGGCCAGTTAAGCCATCCCTTACTTTTGGAATGAGGAGGATGTGAATAGGACCCTGGGGGTTCACGTCCCGAAAAGCTAAGACCTGCAAAACCATGAAAAATGTCAGCAACAGTGATAATGAACTATGTACAACTACTGAAATGTTTTACAGTGGTGAGTATATTAAGATATAGACAAGATAAATTCCAAAGACTACACATAAAATGGATCCAGTTGCTCAGAATAGAGAGAGTTACATTAGCTAGCTAGAGGGATATTGACAAACACTAAGATCCTTAAAAAGGCAATCAATCACTGATCCTTGTTGAACCAAATAACAGTCAAAAAAGAGACCATCTTTTACTTGAAATGCGTAGCATAGAAAACTAATGTCCCATATTCACAGTGCTTTGAATGGGAAGCAGACTGAACTACTTTTAGAGTATCACTAGATATAACAGACAAGTAAGCATATCAAAAGGGGGATACAGAATTCAAAGCACCTTGTCATCCTCATAAACCACAGTGGATGGAATTTCTTTGCTTATGATCTTGTCAAATCTGCATGTTCCATCAATTCAGCACAAGCTCAATAGAAGGAAAACAAAATCTTGAAATTCCAAATATGCAACAGTTTCACTCTTCTATGCACCAAACAACGATCAATCTACTCAAATCAAATATATTCCCACTCTACTTATCATCCATAGAATTCGAAATTTGATCAGTTATTCAAAGATTCCACCAAACAAAAATCGAAATTAGTAACCGATGATCTACGAATCAGCTAGGATTCGTTGAATCAAACAAATCGTCGACCAAA